CAGAAACAGGAATAAAGAAGGGTAACAACTACATTCCTATCAATAAGTACCTCAAATGGAACAGAATTAAGTGCTCCAACTAAAAGATAGAATGGATGAATGGATAAGAAAACAAGACCCCTACATGTTGCCTACAAGAGACTCACTTCAGATTAAAAGACACACAGAGACTAAAAGGAAGAGGATGGAAAAAGATATTGCTTTGATGGACCTAAAAGGTATTTAAGTCAGACAGAGAAAGATAACACCAAATGATTTCAGTTATATGCAGAATCTAAGGAACAAAAAGAACAAACTAATCAAAAACAGACTCACAAATATAGTGGACAATTTGGGGACGGACAGAGGGTTTGGGGAGTTGGAAGAATGGGGTGAAGGGTTAACATGCAAATTAGTAGCTGATGGATGGTCACGAGGATGGGGAGCACAACATAGAGAATGCAGTTAGCATCAATATGTTGGCTAGGTGGAAGGTCGCGGAAGGGAGGGAGCAATTGGGGTATCATTTTATGAACTATATAGGTGTCTAACCAATGTACTGTATATTTGAAACTAATTAAAATAAATAAATAAATAAACTAATTTAAAAAATTTAAGTTGAAAATTAGTTACCTGAATAAAGCTCAGAAAACACTAAATACTTTAAAAGGAACAAAAAACTACAGATTTAGAGAACTTAGATCTGGAAAAAACTGGCATGAGTTCATTTTTAATTTTAAAAATACAATTTGTAAAATCTCTTTAAAAGTGAATTCTTGCAAGCTTCAGGAAATATATAGGTAAATATAACAATGAAAATTATAGCAATTGTGTTTTTGTCCTTTAAATGATTGCTCGCCCTATAATTATGACATATAATTTTCAAGCTAAGAGTCTCATGCAAATAATAATTAATACCTTTAATAATGTTTATAAACACTAACAATGCTTGCTTTTTTAATATGGTAAAATACATATAACATAAAAACAATTTCTGCTTTTTAATAGAGAAGTCGAGATAATATTATAGAGCTTCTTTCTAAAAGTAGATAAAGAAATATTTTAAAAATTTTAGCGACCCATCCTAGATCTTAGGTAGAGAATCAGACATTCTTGGATCCCCACAAGTTTTAAGTTTACAACTTAATTTATACCAGTGGGATTCTTCAAAGTGTATAGAGTTCAGCACTTTGACTAGTTCAAATATCCAAGTTTGGCTGAAATGTGCTAATGCTGACATTCCTCCTGTGCAAGACTGCACAGGCTTGAGTAAATGGGAACCATTCTGTATTGGCATATATTTGATCTAGAACTGGTTGGTTTGCTCCTGACTCCCACCTCTCTTTGCACCTGGGAGAAACAGCTCTGCATTAGGCCATTCTGGCTGAGCACTCCGCCAGATACACATCCCTAAGTTGACTCTGACCCATCTAAAAGGTCTGGAGCCAGAGGGCATATCACTGTGGCAACTCCCCAAAACAGACTCAAGCTACTAGCGCGGTGCTTCCATCTCTGAGGTGGTGTGTAGATCTACCTGCAAAAAGATGTGTGAGGAGATACTCTGCAAAACTTTATCATTTTATAGTTAGAAACCACTCCATCTCAGTGGCTCAGCAAGAACACAAACTTTGCCGTTTAACTATATGTCCTGGTTTGCTCTAAACGATCTAGGTTGGTACTTGTTATGCTTGTCTAATCATTAGCAGTGCCCCCTTTCTCCATAAACATTGTCCCAGATTAAATGATAAATTATATAGTCATCTTACAGACGGTCCCATTTCAAGAAAGGGAAAGGCATGAGGGACAAACTAGAGACAAGTTTATCTGGGAATGTTCACAAGCCTACTGCTCGAGGCCACCTTTTTTGTCCAGTGACTGTGGAAAACCCTAGAAGACTCTCTTAACAATGACCATAAAAGTCCAACTAAATAATTCTCCACTTCAGATGTAGAACTCGGGGGCAAAGCAAACAGCAGGTCTTTTTCTTCATGATTTCAAGGGTGCCCAGAACCATCTAGAGCCTACTCTATATGAGACATACTGCTAGATGGTAATAATATGATGAATTTATCCCTTTAACGAGTGATGAAGAATCATCATTTCTGGGAGTTTTACTTATAAATGCTTCCCCCCAAATGGCCCCTATTATGAGAGTCATATCGACTGAATTCAGATACTCAAAAGGAAATGAAGCAAATAGTACACCATGTCTGATGACTGCATTTATCCACTCAACAAATATTAATACCAAAGATTGAAAGTGGCAGTCTTTAGATCTCTGAAGCCAATCCTCAATGTGTTTTGTTTGGCCCAGATAGTATTCTTAACTATTTAAAATATTTACTAATGCTTTAAAATGTGGACTAATTCATAAAAATCCAGATTTCTACTTTCTCTTGGGAAAGCAGAAGCTCTGGCAACACTGGGCTTTATCCCATTAATGCAATTTCTAACTGGAGCAGAACAGCATCTTAAGAAAGGACCCTCACAGTCCTCATCAACCTTCTTCCCAGGCATTTGAGTTTGTAAACCCTGATTTACAGCTGGAGATAATCCTTAGGGGGACAACATCTGCCCTTTCAAATTAGTGAACAGGAATCCATACCTTTAGATCAAAGGCTCAACTGGGAAATGACAATAAACAAGAAAAGTTGGGTTTTTTTTTAATCAAAAAGCCATATGGCTTCCACTGCCCCTACAGGACCAAAAGGGAGAAATGAGCCTAAGTATATTATTATTTGTAAACTACTAGCACATTCAGCCTCTAAAAGCTAAATATATAATGAAGGTAAATAAAAGGAGACATTTTTAATTGACCTACCAAAGGGTCCAGGAGGGATTCAAAACAGTAAGTGTTGAGAATTCAAGGTGCCAAAACCCATAAACATACTTCAACTATCAGTGAAACTAGCAATGATGTGTCATGTATCAGATCTGAAGAAAAAAAAAAACTTTAATATAAACTACCAAGAATCATAAAATGTTTCTTAAAGTCCTAGAAAAATGTGATTTCTTCCTCCTTAGTAACAGAGTCAAAGATGGAGATAACTTTCAGAAATAAAGAGCATGCAGCACTTCAATTTCAACACACGTGAAAAAAAAAAGTTTCAACACAGGTGAAAGATAAGAAAAAATGTTCCAAACAAATAGGTATAAAATGGAATTCATTTTAATCATGTTTAAGATTTTAAGATAGTTTTTAATATAGTATCTTGGCATAAATATAAGTGTCACATAAGTTAAAATTGCTCTCTTCTCATTGGGAGATTTGAGTGTGAAGATATTAAACTAGTATACAAAGTGACTGATGAAATCTAAGACAATGAGCTTTTATTTTCTTCAACTCAGCTACTAGCTTTTTGTGAGAAAGTACTGGACAAACAGAAAGTCTTTCGATTAGATACTAGAATAATAATTTTTAAATTAATAATGGGATATTTTTCTCATCTGACTATTAATTTCCCAGCTACCAGAGGAACAGTCACGTGGTGGAACCGAGACTTTATATTTAGACAGCACTTTTTCCAAAGATTTATAATACTATGCAAACATTAAATAACAACTTCTAGAACAGCATGAGGTGGGGGGGAAGGGGTCGATATGGTAAAAACTCTTCACACATTTTTTAAGCTTGTTTTTAAAGACACAATGACTGTGGTAAAGTTTTTATATTCCTCTTGCCGTTAGATAAATGACTGTATCTGTTTTTAAGGAAGGAAAAAATGTACTGTTTAGTAATAAACACCTCGATTTAGTAAACTCTGGAGAAATGATATTAGAAAAGAGATTTCCACCTCTTCTGTGACACTGATTTTTAAATCACCCAAGTAGGTACTGATTCTGTCACGGATTAGTGTGTAAAAAAAACTTTTTAAAAAGTCTTTCCACTCAACCTCTAAATACATATTCGTACTTTGCCGACAATCTGACGTCTAGTAACTTTCCCTAAGCCTTGCTCGGAAATAGCCTCCCAGATCTGAGACCTGCAGGTACTGCTGTGACTAAGACGCGTCCGTCCAAATGGGTTAAGGGGCAGGACTCTACCAAGCCCAAGAGTGAGTGCGGAGCCTCTAGAAACCCAACCCGCTCCCGCCTTCCCTCTTAAACACACACAGGCACGCACGCAAAGCCCAGGCCAGGCGTGCCATCCCGTCTCACCCCAGACACCGCGACGCTCCCGGGACGCGCGCTCCTCCCCGCATCCTCCCAGGGCGCACCCGCTCCTCCATCGTCCTGGAACCACTCTCCGCTCCCTCCCTGTCCCCTGCTTCTGAGCGTCGTAGGGTCTCACACACACCCCCGCCCGCCCCCGAACGCTTGCTCCCCAACTCCAGGTCTGAGGAACGCGATCAGTGGGCGCGCAAACGCGCCACGTGGAAGGCGCGCGCCAGCAGCCAAACCACAGTCGGTCCGTGGTGTGGGGTCCTAGCAGCCTCCTGCCCTGCTACTCCTCCCGGGTGAGCCGGACCCTCCCCGCGCCTCCGAGCTGCCGTCTTGCCTGATTCGGGTCTATGGCGCGGAAAACGTGGCAGGCCATCTGCGACTCGGGGTCGTCGGGCTGCGCCTTGATCAGGTAGGCAAAGTAGGTGAGGTCCTGGCTGTTGTGGATGAAGCGCGAGATGTGTTGTGCCTTATGCTCGAAGATGAACACGGCCGGGTTGGGCTGCGCGGCCGCAGGGCCCGAGCCCACCGCCGCCCCAGCGCCCGGGGCGGGGACGCAGCGTAGAAAGGGCGCACTGAGAACTAGGAGCACCTCGCGGGCCGCCGGCGCCCCGCAGCCGCCCGCCTCCGGCTTCTGGCTGCGCCGGCGGATCTCGGCCATGAGCCAGGGAAGCATAGGCAGCGTGGTCCTTCGGTCCAGGCACGACCCCCCCACGTACCACAGCCGGAACCTCTTGTCGCCAGGCTTCCCGGGGCCCGGCTGCGCAGGGGCGCCCGGCTCGGGCTCCAAGGGGTGCGCGAACGGCTCCTCCTGAATGCAGCTGGGGGGCTCCATAACTCGAGCCTCACGGCGGCACCGAGACTGCAGGAGAGGTGCGCCGCGCCCCCAACTCCCGCGCTGAAGGTGCGGCCGAAACTGTGCCAACTGCCACTCCGGGCCCCCGCTCCCGCCTCGGCGCGATCCCCAACTCCGCGCTTCAGCGGCCCTGCCCCATGCAGCACTTTCCCGGGCGCAGCGTGAAGGCTCCGGCGGCGGGCACCGAGGCAGCGCCGGCACCGAGACTGCAGGAGAGGTGCGCCGCGCCCCCAACTCCCGCGCTGAAGGTGCGGCCGAAACTGTGCCAACTGCCACTCCGGGCCCCCGCTCCCGCCTCGGCGCGATCCCCAACTCCGCGCTTCAGCGGCCCTGCCCCATGCAGCACTTTCCCGGGCGCAGCGTGAAGGCTCCGGCGGCGGGCACCGAGGCAGCGCCCCGCAGCCGGACTGGCGGCAGAGGGCGGGTTAAATCGTCATCCTCCTTCTTCGGGCTCGTGCCCGGAGGCCGGACTTCCCCCTTCCTCCGCTGCGACTCCGCGGGGTGAGGACAACGCCGAGGGCCCCGCGCCGCCGCCGGTGGCCGCCTGCTCCAGCGCTGCAGAGCCGCTGCGGCCGCTGCGCTCGCCTGGGGCAGTCGCTGGGGAGCTAGGCGGGGAACGGGCTGTGGGCGGGAGAGGGTGACGGGGGGCGGAGCCGACTCTGACCGGCGTGACCGGCTGTCACCTGGAAAGGTCGGGGCCGCAGAGCTACGGCGCGATCAGTCTTCGAGAAGAGCCTGCAAGAACTATTCGGATGTTAAAATGACAAAAACAAAACGTGGCCTCGCAGAGTCCGCTCCGCCTCCTGTCGCCACAGCCCAGCTCGCTGCTCCTCCTCCGACTGTTCCTGTCCCTCCCTCGCTCTTTCCTTCCTTCCAGGCTGCTTCTTTAATCCGGTTGCTACCCCGCCTCCCGTCCCGCGGGCGGAGAGCGTCGCCTATGAAAGCAAATCTGTGAAGGCGCCCCCCGCCTCTTCCTCCGGCCCCTGTCCCACCATTCCGCCCTGGAGCAGCAGTCCTGCGTCTGGCGCGGGCACTGCCCAGGCCAACTCTGACTCTCTGAAGTGGCCGATATCTCCGTCCTCTCCTGGGCATCTCTTCTACCCCGTGAAGAGGGGCCACTCCCAATGGGGCCCTGGGATTTTTTTTTTTTTTTTAATTAATAGTATTTGCATGGTTTCAATCCCTTCTAAAGGTTGCATAATTTCTAAATATTACTTCCTACTAATCTCAAAAATATTCGTGTTTTAAATACATTAAGACAAAATATTTCAGCTCCAATTTCACCCTAAAATAATAACAGTGTAAGAGAAATATGAATCTTCTTGGCTTTTTCTGTAGCCATTCTCTTAAAATATGAAATATATATATATTATTCATTACATATACCCAGTTCAGAGTTAGCGTTGAGATTTCCCACCCTTTTATATGCAGTAATATGTATTTCCAAGGATCTCAGAAAATTTTAGGGATAATTTGATCATTCTAATTTTAAAACAGAAAGAAAAATATTCTTTATTCATTTTAGCAAGTTGGACTTTCGTCTTCTCTTTTTACTCTAACTGAATTATAATTAAGAATTAGAAAAGAGATAAAATAAATGGGAAAGACACTGAAGATTCTCAACTTTCTCCAAAATGCTTACAGGAAGACTGAAAACTCAGGTTTCTCATTATTTTTAGTTTAATGGTATTCTGTAAAGCCCTGGGGTATTTTTTATCCTATTTCATATAAGATCACTATGATCAATTGCCATTATTCTTATGCTGAATTTCTGGATGCACCCTGATGGCTCTCTTGTAAACAAGGATATAAACTCTAAGATAGAGACATTAATTTCTTAGGTTAGTCATTCGGTTAACCACTCCACTGCTCCTTTGTGCAAAATAGACCCATGTCTTCAACGAGCAGCGAAGAGGTCTTGGAATGTAGACTGAAACCTAGAACCCTACCAGAAACTCTCTTATACAGATTTCATTTCTCTAGGCTATATACCTAAGATCTATAAAAGAAAAGAACAATGACCTGGGGGAAAAGTATGGAAGTCTTGTGGGTTCTACCAAATTAACCAGGTTCGCACCTAGGACTGAATTTGGAGCCCCGGCAGGCCATTTCCCACTGGTAAAAGAAAGTGAAGCAATAAACAGCTTTCATGTATTGACAGAAATACCGAAGAAATGTCTTTTATAACATGACATTGAAGTGTGATTGCTTTCTACTCTGGAATGCCCTTAGACCTTTCTTTGTAACTTTTTGTGATGTTTATCTTACAAGGCATTAAAGAGTATTATTACTGTTTATCAACATCTGATCCGCCCTGCATTCTGACACAGGGGAAGAAAGCTCTTCCCTGCCCTCTTCAAGTTAGGCACAGTCATAAGACTTCTTTTGGCAGTGAAAAGTAAGAGAAGTGACTTGGGTCACATCTTGAGTAGAAGCATTTAACTGCCAGCAGTCAACCGCTCCAGCCTACTCCTGCTCTCCAGCCCCACTCTTCCCCTCCAGTGGTCATCGTGGAAACAACAGGTCTGCATGGAAATTCCTCGTGATCAAAGCAGCCCAGAATGCTGAGCCAACACACGGAGGACAGCTGTCCTGGACAACCGCCCAGGCACATAGCACCCTTCTTATGAGTGAGAAATTAACTTCTTTCTTCTGCTAAGAAGAATATGCTCATGCAAAGCATTCCCAACAATCTGCAAGAAATATCTCCTGAAAGTCTTGTAGTCAACCTCTATCTATGATACTCAAAAGCGAACACATATTTTTTTAAAGTGCTCCTCTAACATCCCAATCTAAATTAATGGTGTCAGCATGAATTAGAAGTTGTAACATCCAGTCAAACCGTAGTTTAAAAATTTATACTATATGATAAATATAAAGGCCTAAGCTAGTGTGATGGTATGAGATTACAAAGGTTTGTTGCAATCTCTAAGCTTTATTTCTTGGTTCTAGGCACCAGTGATTCTCTGTCTCTCTCTGTCTCTGTCTCTCTCTCGCCCTCTCTCTCTCTCTCACCCCCATCTGTGCCCTGCCAACATCTACTTTTCTTTCTTGCTTAAAATTCTCTAGATGAAAATGCATTTCCTAAAGCTCAAAGCAAACATTTTCCTAGTCTTCTATCTGCCACTCTTCTCATCCCACTCACTCACCCAGACAACCTCTCCATTCCTAAATGTATTATACATCTCCTATCTTTATGGGGCTTCATAAGCTTCTTCCTCTGACTGATTGCTCTTGCTTCCTACCACCCCACAACTTGAATTTCCCCCGTCCTTCACTACTTAAGTACTTATTCACTGTTTAAGACCCAACTCAAAAGGCATCTCTGCTGTGAAGATATTTCTTACTTCCTCCGTCAGAGTTAGTGGACTTCTCTTCTTTGCTGTTTATATATATATATACACATTCTACTATTACAGAAATTACTGCTTTCTTTATAATTATTGGGTGATTTGTCTGTGTTCCCCAACACAAAGAATGTTGAGAAAAGGATTATTTGTTTTATGCCATATTTTCTCCAGCACAAAGCACAGTAGCTGACAATAGGTTCTTAATAAGTACTAAGTAAATGAATGTATTGAGTTAAATAAATAGCAATTAGAATATAAGAAAGTAACGATTAAAAGAGAAGTTTTAATATCACAGAAGTGATACACCAAGTGGTTTAATTAGCTAATTTGGGGAAAACACACTAAATATATCCACCAGCTAATTATAAAATACTAGAAAATAATAGAATGTCTCCCAAAAATTGTGATAGAGTTCTAACTGGAGACGGCAAACAGAGCACGAGCATTCGTGACTGAATAAAACTTTGAGATAATAACAGGGTTTTCCCCCTCCTGTTCCCCATTCCCTGTGACCTTCCCTAGCCCACGCGGCCAGGGCATAGCATCTTCACTGCTCCAAAAAAAGGATGACACAGCACAGCACAGATAACAAAAGAGTTCATTCTTAGCTTTCAGATTTCAAAAGCTAAGGACTTGGCAAAGGCAAAATATTTAGAAAATACAATCTATGAGTCAGTTTCTATAGTTCTAGACACTAAAGAAAGTATTCTCAAACTTAGGATATAAAGACAAAGAAAGAGGGAATAAATAAGGGATAACTACTAAAAATCCAGATATACAACGTATGATTTTCAAACCAGTAGAATGTTGATCTATCGTGCAGAAAAGGAAAGGGAATAAAAATTTTTTAAAAAATGAAAGGAAACAGAAATAAAGTGCGATAAATAGAAAACTTAAAATAGTATGACTAAAGTAACTCCAAATAGTAACTATAATAAATATAAATTAGTTATTCTAAGCAACCAAGAGATAAAGACTTAAAGATCCTAGAATATGTCCTTGATGAAATCACTTTTAAACCAAAAAGTATCTAGAAAGAGTGAAAACAAACACAAAGAATAAAATATGTGAGGCATATATGAATAAAAAGAAAGCCAGAGTAGTGGTTTCAATGGCAGATTAAATAGAATTTAAGGCTAATGAAGGGGGCCAATATTTACCAATATTGACCAAAATTACTGGTCAATATTAACCATTAAAAGTATTAAGAAGATATTATTTTTAAACACATATACACTAAATAAATTGCTCACAAATACATAAAACAACAGTTAAAAGAATGACAAGGAAAATAAATACATCAACATTTTCAGTGACTTTAAAAAATCATTCCCAGATACTATAAGATCAAGTAAACTAATTATAATCAAATTTATAAACTTAAGATGACTAAATATAACCATGTTTAAATATATATGTACCTATCCAATGAATAAATGAATAAAGAATATAAAATACCTATGAAAGAAACTAAAATTGTCGATGCACTACATCATTGAGGAAACCCATAAATTCCAAAGAATCGCTATCATGTAGAATATCTGTCTGATTATTATTTAAGGTAAATTCGAAATCAAAAACATAGCTTTAAAAATCCATATATCTGGAAAGTAAACAAAATGGAATTGAATCCTCCTGATTTTTAAAAATTGTAAGAGAAAAATTTAACATATGGAATTAAATAATTTAAAAAGTAATTTTAAGTCAAAACTTATGGAATACAAGTAAATATGTTGAATAAAGTATGCTTATCAAAATTAAAAATAATAAATGAAAATAAGTGAACTAAAAATTTTACTTAAAAAAATAGAAAAAAGTGGCAAGCAATGCCTCTG